TTACGATTTTGCTAAATTGTGCTTTGGTACAGAAAGGCTATTGTACCTAACCAATGCTCTAGTCTCTGTCTTGCTTTGGAGCATGTCAGGCTAAATCCTCTTGTTTTCATTTGAAACAGCATTTTCAAGCTATAACGATCTTTGTCCACATGAGCGTTTTTGTCTGTATCAGTTTAAATCTGCATCGTAACTAACACACATGAAAACGTACATCAGTTGACCAGTCACATACATTGGGCATGTGCATGCCAGTGTAGACAGGAAGGCTAAAGCGTCCTATTACATTGTAATATAATCATTGTAATATAATAATCATTGTAAAATGGAGAATTGAACTGCACAAAAGCTTTTAGGAAAGACAACAGGGTCAGCAATGCTTGTAATTGATTATCCATGTTGGGTTCTAAACTAGTAGCTGAGGCTAATACCGGTTATTTTCTTCTGGTATGTGGTTATATGATAGGAGCCTGACCAAAGCGAATACTACATTGTGACCGAAATGATCCAATCAGCAAGTGGTTGTGAGTGTCATCGTTTCCAATCACCTGTTTCTGCCCCTCCAGAATAAAATGATGCAGACTATCAAACTAAAATGGGGCCAGCAGCATCTAATAACTTCTCAGTTTCAGCGGCTCTCTGGAGTAGTGTGGACACCAGGAGTATCCGCAACCAAGCTGATGCATTTTCAAACGAAAAGTAAGCAGTGAGGATGTAGCCTAAATGTCTGCATAGCATACAGTATATCATAGGATTTCTCAGTGATGTGAATGATCACTTTGATTTATAACAGTAATGTACTGATGATTATGCTTTTTTTCCACAGTGTTCCAGTCTCGAGTTTACACGCGTCTGTTGGGGCAGGTGCCTGTTCTCTGGTTGGAGAGAGGCAAACTTGTAGGCTTTAAACGCTGAAGTACATAGACATGACATTAACACACACACACACACACACACACACACACACACACACACACACACACAAAAGGCACACAGCGACATACACACAAGTGAAACACCCGATGCTCACACACCCGCACGCTCTGACCTTACACTTGCGAGCACCCGTCTGGTACATATAACACAGTCATTTCATTAAATGGCTCAGTGGGGGCTCGTCCCAGCCAGCAGAAAGAGGCCCACATCCACCATTTAAACCTTCACTGTACTTTCCACCTACAATAACTCATGTGCCCTACATTATGGACATAATAAAAGCTTACAAAGCTTTCCAAAAGCTTCACTTCAGGATCATTCAAGTGGTGACAAACAGTACTGAGTTTAGCTAAAATAGTGCTATAAATCACATGTACGTACGATGCTTATGTTTGTATTAAAACCAAACTAAAACAGAATCCTTCCTCAAATCAAGGAATTTGTTTTTTTTCTTTGCATGATTTGTTTGCATTAGTAACACAGTGAGTGAGAGGCAGCAATATGACTGTAGCGCCCATGCTGAAAGAAGCTGAGGGGAGAAGCTACACAACTTTGTTTGCAGCTGCCATTTCTCATTTTCATTTCAGGCGTCGGTCCATAGAGAGGCCCTGACAGAGTAGAATCTACAAGGCAGATCTCTGTCACAACAGGAGAAGAGGGACAAGTATCCCTGGTTCTTTCTATTTTTCCACATTAAAATGTCTGGTGAGACTGAGGAAAAAGATGATCTTTTCCATTCAGAAGGCACAACTGGCTTGACTGTTTTTCCGTAGCCTCCTCTCGTCCTTTCAAGATTCCATATCTGCCTGCATTATCCAGATTGTTGGGCTTTACCTTACCCAGTATTGCCCAGTGGCTATAGTAGTGATTTAAATGGCACAGGTCAGGGTTATATACAGTCTTGTTAGCAGTCTTCTCTATGCCATGATGAGATGGTTGCTTCGTTCTCTGATGTCTGCTGGAGGAACAAGATCTTTCTTCACTGGGGTTGGCAGCAGGGTTGAACGTCTGCCTTTGGGTTTAAACAAGTCTGATACAAAGAAAACCTGCGGAAGGGAGAGAGTAAACTTAAATGAACTCCTCAGTCATCATAATTCTCCTGCTCCAGTTTTCTTTTTGTAATTCCCTTTCCTCTACAGATACACTGCGCACCTCCTCTAGATACTGTATTGGGTCCTTTCCATTTACATGCAGCCTCTCTCCTTTTAAATGTATTCTTTTGTTGCATCGTTATCTCTACAACAGCCAATTGTGTGAACCTTTTTACCTTTAAAATTCAAATAACTGCCATAAAATGTTAATTCAGAAACTTTTCTCAGTTGAATCAAGACAAAGGGCTTTAGTGCCTCTGTCTAAAAATCTCAGTAAACCCTGATCTTATTTTCAGGCTTGTAGGTTAAGTACATTTAATAATTCAGAATTGCTTCAACAAAGTAATAACTACCATATTCTTCAGATTTTTTCCATATAGAGAACAGTACTCAAGCTTTTATTTATTTAATTAACATGAAAAAAACACCATGTTTCTTTATATTCAAGAACTGGCTCTTGATGGATTTTAGAAAAGATTATTTGAGATGCAGCTTTGAGATCAATTTTTCTTTCCTTTCTTTTGGCGGATCTGCACTGCTTTCTTTTGTGTCTTTGAATGATCAAACTTGTCATTTGAAAAGGGCTACACAAATGAAGCTATAATCATTATTATAATGAGCTGGAACACAAGAAAACAACATTTACAAGAGATTTATTCAAAATGGTAGTCTTTAATCTTAAATCTTCAATAGTAGGATGAAAATAAAACTTAATGGAAGCACTCACTATGCAGTAGGCCACCATGGCTCCTTGTAAAAAACCTACAAGGACATCAGTGGGGTGGTGCTTGTGATCAGAGACACGGGACAAGCCAGTGTAGAAAGACATCATGATGAGAGTGAACTGGGTCAGAGGGCGCAGCAGGCGGGCTCCATGCCAAGTGAAACGAGACTGCAGGTAGAACTGGTGAAGAGACAGAATAGTTGGTTTATATAGCGTGTATACATACAGTGTGTATACACAGTACAAATGTATATGTTAAAAACAATTCAGTAACTCACCACCAGATAAAGCATGGTGTACATCGAGAATGACGCATGTCCGGAGAAGAAAGACTTCCTGAGGGACAGATTTCAATCAGAGATTTACGACACCTTATAATCTACAGTCTAAACAAAAAAGTTTAAATTACACACTTTTGTTTTTTATTACACTACCTGGCCTCTTGAACTTTGCTCTCTGGCCCCTGACACTGATAGTCAGTGATATAGCCCAGGGAGCAGTTGATAGTGGAGAAGTCTGGTTTGCACACGTCAAGGAAGTGTGGGCGCATGCGGCCCACTGACACTTTGGCAATGTCAGTGAAGGACTGACTGATGGCACAGCCGAAGATGAACACACCGACCTGCTTATAGAGAGCAGAGATGTAGGGGTTCCCTACAAAGGACTTAGATCCCTCATTCAGAAAGTAGATCCTGTAGCTTTCTCCAATGATGATCTAAAGGAACAGAAGAGACTGTGATGTCAGTGAAAGTCATGGTTTTAACAAAGTCCCAGTCCCAACAATTATTACTCTAATTCCTAAGTAGTTATTTCTCATCTCCTGAGTCCTCAGTGATAATGTGTTGGTTTATGAAGAATGGAACAGTAAGTGTGGTGCTTCACCTATAATTCCTTTCACAACTGGCATCTTTTCACATAATGTGAATTAAATAATAACCCTATTTCTGTCAAATAATTCCAGAAATGTCTGTCTGAATATCTTGAGAAAATAAGATCTTATTGCTCTCACACTTGGCGTGTGAATTGTTAAGGGCCCCAGTAAGTGCAGTGTTGAATTTGGTGCGATTTAGACACGCGATACATTCAGATGACCAGCGCTCTGTAGCAGCTCTGACTCACCAACGTGAACGACGTCTATCACTAGCGGGTTCATGGAAATGGCAATGAAAACTGTTTTTCCAGTTTGGGGCTCTGTGCACTGAGTCACGCTTCACTGAACTTAGAATAAACAGGTGAACAGCTCTTTATGCAGCAGTGGTGGTGCAGCTTCAGGGTTCTGTGAACTGAGTCAGTGGCTCAATTACTGCAGGTCACTTTTACAGTTTCAAAAAGACAGCTGCAACAGCATCACCACAGGCCAAGAAACCAGACAAGGTTTTATGATTTCAGACTTTCCCTGATGTTCCATTTTCAATTTTAGAACATGAGTTGAATATGAATGCAGTTTTTTCATGAGGTATTACTGGATTACAGAAAGTGTGTAGGACACAATATTCATGAACAAACCCTCAAGCTGTTGCTAATTTTAGTGGGACAGCACTAAGCTCTTGCCGATATATTGAAAATGTGCATCAATTGATGATGATTCTGTGGGGATGGACATTGGAACCAGGCCATAAAGAGCTCTGATGTTCAGAGTGGAGAATATAACTCACTAATATGACCAAAATAACTTCTGTTATTATGACAGTTCAAATGGAAAGCTGTGATTTCCTCTGAAATAGTTTTAAAAAGGGATATTTAATAGTTAACTGAGTTCACCTCAGCCGTTTGATTCTGGTACAAAACAGTGAGGCGACGTGGGAGGCAACTCAAACTGTCCGCCATGTATAGTTTTCTGTAAGAGCATAAATAAACCACCGTCTACAACCGAAGATTGAAAGGTGAGGCTCACTTAGGGGGAGTTAGAAAGACATAACTCGCAACAGCTGTTCAAGCTCAAAAACGCCTTCCCAACCTCCCATTTCTCCCCCGTTGTCTCTCAGTTGCTCACAAGTGATAGAAGTAGAAAGGAGAGAATAAGAGAAGTAGGGAAAGTTCCAGGGAGAAAATGGAAGGATGGAAGGCACAGTTAAAGGAAGAGAGGATAGGGAGCAAAAAAGAGTAGTAGAAGAGGAATGCAAATAAGGAGAAAGGAGGAGAAAGAGGAAGGTGAAAGGAGGAGAAAGAGGAAGGTGAAAGGAGGAATGAAGACTTGTGCAGGAGAGAGAGTCGGGAGGGAGTGGGGGAGGCACCACTGGTTCTAATCAGCAGAAACGCTGAGCTAGGCAACGCGTCTGATTTTGGTGGCCAGACTCCACCAGGCCCACGTCGGGGGCACGTTTGTTTTTCACTGCTCCGGCTCCCTCTCTAAAACGTCTCTGGTTTCACAAGGGACGTCTGGCTGTTTTCATGTTAGTATCTCGGTTTCATCAGACATTCTTGCGAGGGGGCTCAGGAATAAGTCTCATTCTTGGAAATACTCTGCAGAGGGATAGCCCTTTAGGAGATTTAACAAGCTGATAGAGTATTTTGCTTCCACCATCCAGGCCTTTAGAGCCAGCTAGATACGGACCAGCTGCTTTCAGGCAAGGGAGAGAGAGAAGGGGAAGAAAACAGATCTGGTTTCCCTTGTGTGAAAAATTTAACCAAGTGAACGAATAAATTAACTGGCATTGTAGGATAAGTCGCTGTTCCACTGAAACCTCAAACATAATTATGGCGGCTAGACACTAAATTATGTCAAACATCTTGTATTTGACACCACGCTGTTTTTCTTTCTTTTAAAAATATTTGCATGAATTATAAAGATAGTGGCCTTTTCAGATTATCAGCTCTATTCATGGATAAAATGAGGTACTTAATGACATAATGTTGTTGTTCTCTGGTTCAGTAAACACAAAGGTTGGCACAATGCTCCAGGGGGGTGTGATGGGTTGTAAAGTCACGTTTTGCCAGGGTAAAATGAGATATTTGGCAAATTCTTCTTGTTTGGGGCCTTCACCGCAATTCCACCCCACCAATTACAGCATTTAACCCAACAACCATTGCGTCAACCATAATAACATGGGGCCAGGACTCCTTCTCACCATGAAAACCCCTGTGGCCCTGAGCCCACAGAGCAGTCTGCTCTCTGGGGGGAGAGAGCTGATGGAGAAGCCTTCCCATGAGGCCAGACACTGTCCAACTGCAGATCTGCCGGATGATAACTGCACATGCTATGGCAGTGCTGAGTCATGCCACAGAGCAAAGTGACTGCAGCATGATGTATCTAGAATCTACCTCTGCTCATCCACTGTTAACACATTACCAATATGTGGTGGCTAATGTGTCAGTACCTGTTGAGAGTGAGACATTGCTAAATGTGGGTATTAAATAGTGCCAAAGAGAAACAATGCAATGCATTAGCAATTTATTTATATATTGAACTTTTGTTATATTGATATCCATGGAATATATATTGCAATATTGATGGATATAGTTGTATTACCCAGTCCTAAGATAATTATTTTAAGTATTACTAGTGCTGTCTGTGGTAGTTAGTTGTTAACTAAGATCTTGCCAAGTTGTGAGCGGTCTGTAGTCAGGGAGTTCAAGTTCCACCTCTGAGCAGTAGCATATTCAGAATAATTATTTTAACTATTTAACCTGATGGTAAAGTGAACAGGTTGTGGACATATCCTCACTGTTTTCACCCAGGAGATTTCAAACAGAGAAACATTTCAACACTTCACTTCTTCATGTGTCTTTAGAACCCTTGTTAAGTACCCTTGTTATGCCACCTTTGCTACCCGGCTCTGCCTTTTATACAGACATCGTTTCAGCTCTGTGATCTACTCTAGTGCCGGAATTAAAGGCGGAACAACAATGCCCCCCCTATTCCACGTTCATACCTTTTACACATAATAGCAAGGTGGAATTAAGCTGCAGCATTCTTGCCTTGAACACTGTGTAAAAGTGTGTTTTTATCAGTGGAGTCATCTAAAGCCCCTGAAGAGATGCCTTGAACAAATATTGTCGACTGGCTGTTATCTGTGCTGGAGCCAATCACATTGGCTGATAACACAGGTATGGAGAGTTGTTGTTACAGTAATCGTGAGAGATAATCTCAGTTTACTCCAACAGAAAGTTAAGTGTGATGAATAGTGCACAAGTGTATTTCTCTGATCCTGAGTGCAGTGGTAAGGTGCATGGTTTGGTTGGAGAAAGAAATGAACACATGCTGCTATTGTACTTAGACATTACCAGTATGATACAGTTGTAAAATATCTTCATTGTTGGAAATCTTACAATTATCATAACCAAAATAGAGCCACCTGAGAAATACTATGATGCACCGTGCACTCAGGATGAGAATTAATAACGTCGACATCTAGTTGAAGAGCCAGTGTGTGCTGCTAGTAAAGGTGAAGGCTGCTGAAACAACAAGAAGTGATGACATTAGGGATCAAAGTGAGGTGACTTACAGAGAGGATGGTGATAAGAATGCCAGCAGCGCTAAGCACACCGTCGCTAATGGTGTCTCCGTTTTTGGCCGGGTACTTGATGGACTCATCATCGCAGTAAAACCCTCTACGGTAAGGTTGAACAGCGCTGGTCTCAATGACCAAGAAAGGCAGGCCGGCTAGTGTGAAGAAGCAGTGAGCGGCACAGAGAGAATGGAGGGGGTGGGGATTGATGGGTGAGGGAGAGAGAGAGAGATGGAGGTGGTGGGTTAATGAAACGCATATTACTGGGGTCACAGGTACAAGGAGGCAACAAGGGGACATCTGGGGATGGCTCAATTCATCTTGTGGCTGTAATCTGAGACTAATCAAGAAATAATGACTCCAGGTTTTTTATGTAGTCAGAATCATATGGGGCTTCTGAGCACATCTTTGTAGGTATTAAAGGACCATACCTGTTTTTTGTTTTGTATGTTTCAGCCATGTATGATTTACATTGCTGCCAACCATCTTCCAGAGCACATCATTTATCTTTATACCAAACTCTGCGTCTTCAGACTGCCAATGGTTTCCATTAATTTAATAATAATCATAATCAAATGACAATGAAGGGGCACTTGAAGGTAAAAGGAAACAATGCTGCAAGAGATATCTGGAGGATTCGACACAAGTAGAATCACTGATGATGTTTCTAACACACAAAGGACACAAAACAACAAAACGAATACAAATATCTCAGGGGGAAAAAGAGATGCCAAACGTAGGAGTTTTCTGGAGTTTAAGTCTGAAAATGACTATATTTACCTTATATCTCAAATACTGTCTTGTAGGAATACAAGTTACTAATGACAAATGTCAAAAGCAAAGCGTAAGGCCTGAATTTAAAACCCTAAAATTACAAGAGGTACAAAATTAGTCTGCAACTTACAGAGATGTGCTTTGCAAACGGTTGGCAGACAATGAGCAGCACGCATGATTTACAGCAAGTGAGGTACAAAATGTATGCACCACTGCGTGTGAGTCAGATTCTGTCAAATTAATCATAACTTCTGAAGTGTCTCAAGCCAACCATTGGATGAATTGACAGCGTCTCATCAAATGCTCCCTGGTTCTCTCGCTGCACCAAACCAGGACTTACTGAGGCCACAGGCACAGTGACGCCCACGGCTGTGAGCACGGTGTTGGACACTGTGCTGCTCTTATGGGGAAGCTTGATGCTGTCGTCGTTGCAGAAGAATCCTCTTTGGTAAGGTGGGAAGGGAGATTTGTGCAAAAACACAGCAACGAGCAACACTACATGGTTGGACAGATATATGATGAGCGCAGGTCAGACCAGTTTGAAGCAAAACAGAGGACAGCAACATCATCATGAAGACAAACACAGAAGCACATGAAAGGCACAGACAAATACAAATAAGACAGTCATACAGACAGACAAAAACTCCCAACAGACATAAGTTATTAATTTCATCCAATTTTCGAAACTGACACTGATGCTGTCAAAAGAAAATTTAAAAAAAATAAACTCAGTTGGCATTAATGCTTAAATCAAAGTTAAGATTTAAGTGAATCTTTAATGCTTAAAATAGCATCAATTAATTTCTAACTGGCAGAGATTGTGCTAGAAGGTTTAGATGTGTCACACTCTTAAGAGAGACCATCACTGCTGACTGACAAGAAAATAAAATAAAAACATAAAAACATTATCAGTGTACTCCTTCCTTTCCTGCCGAGGCTTTCAAGTGCACTTAAAAAGACCCACTAAGATGCCTTGAGGGGGGGCCGATGGGAAGGTGGGGGTGGGCGGTTGTTCTCCTAACAACAAACACAGTGTGTGGGTGTGACTCAGATGCAAGGACAGCTTATTCACTGGAGGACTTTGAAATCTGAGTGAGGATGTGTGGTACCCAGGAGATGCCTCCAATTTCTGGCAGAAGTTTGGAAAACACACTTTCAAATCACATCAAAGCAGCATTTAAATGATGTCGGAGCATTCAAGTCGCCCTTTGAATAAATCTTCAATCTGCCAATACAAAGAAAAACAAACATCAGCTCTCTCGCTCACACATGTTCGCTCTCTGTCTCAAAAAAGCAGCACTGGGGTGAAGAGGTCAGTGCCTAGAGGTGCTGCTGAAGGCAGGATGGCTGGGTGGTGGTGGTGGGGCATGATTTCTTAAACCACATGTCAACAGTCTTGAGTTGATGCTGGGTCCCTCAGCATCCCCCCCCACACACACTCACAGCTGACTGGCCTTTGAAGGTCCAGCTGGGTTGAGCTCAGGTTACAGACAGGGCTCGGACACTCCATGGGAACTCCAGAACACCAACCTTCCCTCCACATTCAGCAGGATTCACGTTATTAACTTTCATGTTTTCATTCTCGCTCTTAAAACAAATACCTGAACGGGCAATAGAAAGAGGAGGGTGATATGTCTTAAAGAGTTCTGTAACTGTAAAAATATACTGTACTTTTTATCCTCAATGTCTGATCCTTGGTTTGCTTAGTCTGGCCAAGGACAGACCCACACAGACCTTACAGGAGACTTAATAAATTCTGCCTGAAATGCTGATATAAAGCAATCGGAGCAAACAAAAGCATACAGGGCTCAAAGTGCTGGATCTGAAACCTGTTAACCTCTGAGTCCTGACCCCTCCAAACGGCTCTAAACTCATTCACAGACCTGATACAAACCACAAGGTCAGAGGCTGATAGGCAGACTCAGAGGGGCGGCAACATGGATTGATGAAATATTGTGTCCACAGTTTGTAAAATAACCTGCACGAGGTCAAGCGCCTCAAACAACTGATTGGAAAGACGGAGGAAACACAATAAGGACCCTGTGAGTCAGGTCACGTCTTCCAGACATTCAGCAGTTTTTTTTATTCTCTTGCCCCTCTCCGACCCCGTCCATCCGTCGTAGCACTGCAGCATCAGCAGTGTACAACACCTTGGGATTTTCCCCTCCTACCCTCTTCCTCCCTTCCTGCTTCTCAAAGCTGTCCTGCCAACAACAACACCAGTCAGCAAGAGAGGGTATTTCTTTTACATTAGCTCAACTGAAACAAACAAAAAGGTGGAGGAGATTTTTTTCAGTTCATAATGTAAACATCAGGTGTCTTCTACTTGTTTTTGCTGTAAAGCAGCATGCTTAGTCAACTGGGGATTTCTAAGTGAAAAGCAAAAGCAAACACAGTCAGTAAATGATGAGGATGATGACTTTCTCAGCATACAACTGAGCACCTCAAAATATGGTAGAAAACTTACTATTAAGACCTGCTAGTTAGAGTTTCCTATGTTTGTCTATTTAGCCTTTCTCCCAGTTCAGCCCTGGCAGCTCCATGTAGCTGCAGTTTGTGGAAACTAGAATCAGTGTAGAGTTAAAGCCCTACCATACTTTGGAAGCATTCGCCAAAACACCAAGTGGGACTGTTAAAATAAACAGACACACATTTTCCACTTGCAGGGATCTCTCACTGTCTGGCGTATAAATGTATACATGTCTGAGGTAGTTGTGGTGTATACACAGATGCAGTTGTTTTTACTCCCAGCAGCCCCCACACAACCTTCACCTTGTCCGTCTGACTGTCTGTCAGTCTGGCCTCCAGCAAAACTTAGTTCATAGTTCCACTGGAGTAAGGAAAAGGGTCTGCCTGCTGCTGGCGTTTAATAAAAAAATCACATTTGCATTGAATTACGAGTCGCTAAAAGGGCCGATTACCTTCCATTTGAACCCACATTTACTATTCATATTTCTTTAGGGGAGTGTTTTTTTGACAGAAGGTGGTCTACAGTTCACATTCTTCATGTTCATCTGTTCCTGCTTAGTAGCTACAACCCCAATAATCCATAGACTGTATAAAGATGGATGAGGCGTCTCTACTACCTTCCACTATCCAGAGATGAAGCTAAAATGTCCCTGATACGAATGTCAATTAAAACCAATCTTATGAGAACGATTAGCAGTTGAACATATATCAGTGTGGTACTTTGACTTTTTAGTTTGGTCCATGTCCACTCAATTAACATGGAGGAGGTGGGGTTTATGACCTATACTGCAGCCAGCCACCAGGTGGTGATCAAGACACTTTGGCTTCACTTTTAGAGAGCTGTCATGTCGTCCATCTTTATATACAGTTCTATGCCATAAACATAGACAAACACACAAACAGACAAAGTACAAGGACAATACAGTTGCACAAACAATTCATCCATGTACATAAATGATGCATAACAATATCACATACACAGTATATACAGATACTTACACCATTTGTATGCACATATATAGCTATACCAGTTATCTGTACAAACAAAATAACTTTTACAGTTACATTATTCAGTTCTTTCTGACAACTGACCGTGTTCATCGTAACTTCTCTTCATTTTAACAATTCAATTAAACTACAGTATATTTATTTCCCTTTGTCTTACAAGTAATAGATCACATATTAATCTCACATCTGGATGTTTCTTTTATCAAATTTAATGCAACCTCATTTTAGTATTCCTTGAATCTGGACCCATCAGTGATGCCTCAGTGGCATTTTGATTTTTGATTTGTCTGTGATTTGACTCCTTCACTATTTGAGGTCCATAATTGCTGTTTGACTGGGCAGCACTTTGAGATCCAGCTCATGTTTATTATTTTTGGAGGTTTCATTGACACAAATTATTCTTTCAATTTTACTTGCTGAGGTTTTTTTTGTTGTTGCTAAATATCAAAATACACTAACTCACGGGGATCATAGCGTTACAAAATAAGTTACCACTGCTTTCGACATCATTCTCTTAATTTCCTGTCTTCACACAACTGAAAATATAGGTGCCAGTGTGGCCAACAATTACCCAACTTCTATTTAGTCCTGAGCAAAGGCAAAAGCCCACAATAACACTATAAGACGATTAAACTGGAAATCATGAAAGCCACCTGCCACAGCTTACAGTAAACTGAACCTAATCAGTGGCCCTCTGTTCTCCTCAGCATTTATTTCGAATCACCTCTGAATCTGGGTCACTGCCACTAATACCTACAATTGTTATTTTTACTGGCAGTGATGGTCTAGTTTACAGAGATTGCAGTGACTAGAGATGTGACTAAGATAGTGGGAGAGAGAGATCCCTGGATGCAGCAATAGTAGAAGCATAATCTGTGATAGGATGAGTGGTGATTAACTTTACTGGTCCACCATTTCCTGCATTTGGTCATTTCCTTCAAACCACATCTTTGGCAGAAAAACACTTCTGTTTTTTGTTGACAAGCTTCTCTGTGGTAAGGTACTAAGATCATACAGAGAAAATCGTGAGGGATTTACCTTCGACAGAGACTAAAACTAGACTGAAACTAACTACGGATTGTCAGAAAACACCTTTTTATTATGATTTTAACAATAGTAGGTCTGATGTTGTCCCATGCAGTTTCATCAATTTCATCTGTTTACCTTACATCAATGTTCCGCAGCATACTGGAAAGTGACATCAGGCAACAGTCAAAGGTTTAAGGAGAGTGGCAAAGCTTTTGTAGGACTTCGAACTTCAGTGTGAAAACATGTTTCACCTGCAATAACAACCTTAACCCAATGACTGCAGCTGTCGAACATCACAGGACCTTCGCTGATGAACTTGCACGCACACACACACACAGGTCTGACCTTTTCACCACTTCCCTTAATTACTCCACACTAACATGCACACATATATTGTGCCAGATGTTGAGATCAGAAGAATTCCAGCTGGTGTGGAATGTGAACCATTCTGGAAAACATAGCAAGGAGTAATGGCAGAGGGATACAGTACAGGTGTGGGTGGAGACCAAAGAGACGTACCCCTCCTGGGGCAATGATTAATTAGTTTTCCCCCTTTACAACATTTTTTGGCAGAAGAAAAAGGAGACTCATTAGCTAAACTAAAGTAAAAATTTGTAGCTATATTAATAACAGCCAACTGTGTAGGCTACAGCTGCTGATGGGGCATCACTCTTTGCTTTATTAATTCAGCTTGTGGAGCAGGCGAACAAAAGGTGTAAACCAAGACTGAAGACCAAGGGTGACAGGGTCTCTGCTGTCAGGGCCCCCCCAACCCTCTGGAATACATGAGGACTGTCTGCTCGAGGATCATCTCTCAAAACTGACTTCTACCAAATGTCTTTTTACTTTTATCATTTTCTTTTCTAATTACTTCATTTGTTGTTTTAGATTTTGCATTACTGAGCACCATTTGCCATTTTTGATTTAAAATGATATTGTGGTATTTTGCTTGTTGTATTTGACGATCTGTGTTCTTGCTTTTATTCACCTTTGTGAACTACTTGTGAAAGCTTCTATATAAGGTGATACATAAAAAATGCTTGTTGTTATTAAATATGATAATAAGTTTAATTTAATTTTCCTTTCCCCCCCTAAAAAAAAATAAATAGTTCAAATTAAATTAAAGTTAAATATTCTAAGATAGCTTGACTCTGGTGTTATGGGCAATTTTGGTATTTAAAAATGATAATCACATAAAGACAATATTGAACTATTTCGAATCCATTGAAAGAAAGGTTAAACTATTATCAACTGGTAGATAAACACATGGGTAGTTTAGAGTGAACAATGTTGAATGAAACAATAGACACACATCCAGTTGTCAGCAGTACAACATGTCAGTGATGGTGGCACTGACTCTGAAATGACACTCACCTAAGAACAAGCAGAACAGATCCACTCCGACCAGCAGCTTCCTCCTGCGGTGGTCTTTGCAGTTATTGTTGTTCAGCGAACTCCCGCCGTTCCTCGTCTCGGCTGCCATCGTCTTCTCATATATCAAACAGCGTTGCATTTAAAAAGAGTCTTGCAAATAAAGTCAAAACAAACAGGTTAAACGTCCTCACTGCGCTGCCTTGACTTTCTTTTAACACTAGCTACGAGCGGCTAACGCTCCTACGTGGGTCCTGAGGAGGAGTCGTCTTCAGTGAGAGTGAGTGTGAGAGAAAAGGCTCCACCACAACAGACCCCGCTTTCGGCTGACTTCTGACCGTCCTCCGCTGCTTTCCGAGGGGGTAGAGAGAGTCCTGTGACGGCCTTCCAAGAAAGCCCCTCCTCCAGAGACCTCCCCCCCTCAATTAATACCATATGCCAGCTCCTAGTCACACACACACTCACACACTGGGGGATTCCACTAGTCTCAAAGTCACCAGATAAAAAGGCTTTTCCCAGGATATGATCTGCACCACAACTTGTGTGTTTTCCACATTTAAGACAGGTTTTTCTAAATTATGCAGACGTCTGTCTTCCTGTGCCGTCATGTAAACACTCTGGTAAAGTAAAATCCCCACCATTCTTTAGTCCGGGCCTCTCTGATGCACAGTATGATGGAGGAAAAACACTGAACTGCACATTAGGCCTCCAACGTCACTTGAATCTCATTCACATTCTCTCTTTGGTAGTTTTAAACTGTGCTTTCTGAATTGAATTTGATTTCTTTTACTAAATCCCCACCATTATTAGACATTTAGTCTTTCATATAGATTATACATTCATTTTTCAACATCACTTAAAGTTCAAGCAAGAAAATATCAGTAGTGGAAAAGGTATTCAAACAGTTCACTTAAGTAAAAGTAGAAATAAATAGAGAATTACAATGGGGCTCAATAGAGTACATACCTTTGCCAAGGCTTTCATTTAAATTCATGCTGCACCAAATGAAACACAATCATAAATATCAGTTCCATAGATATTCCTGATTTTTTTCATCATGATCAATGAAATATTCCCTCGGATAATTCTGAAGATGTTAATCTCACAAATTAAAAAAAGTGATAACCCTCTTGTGTAATGCTGCTGACCAAGAAAGAGATGAAAACATAACCTCCTCAGCAGAGGTAAAAATGTGCTCCAGTAAAAGTACTACATTACTTTTTCCTACATACAGTGAGTACTTGCTTTTAAATATGCTTCAAGTACTATAGATAAAAGTACTTGTAGAGAGTTGCATATTCTCTGATGTAACATGTACTGTATATTTTGCTTAATACAACAAACAGCCTTTGCCATATTAATACAAAATGCAGCTGCAGATGATGCTAATGAAAACTTGCATTGTCATATTATATAATGGCTGAGTCACAGCAGTGGCCTCTCAAATCCATTCTTGAATGCTTTGTGAGTATGAAGTGTAGAAAATACAGATATTTGTAGGCAAAAGTGAAAAGTACCTGAAAATAATTATACGTAAGTACAGTAACTGTACATAACTTTACAAAACAAAGGGTGAGTTAAGTGTTATTACAAGAAACACGATTAAGAGAAGGGTTTCTATTTTGCAATAGTTCAGAGTGGATAACGGTACATACTGTAGGTCTATGGCAGTTTAAGTTGTGTAGCAGTGTGTCGATTTAAGGAGAATGCAAACAATGTGGTAAAAACCTTATCAGAAGCATAAATCAATGAGAAATATTTATTAGATGTAACAGACAAACCAAAATCCAAATGCAAAGAACATATTCATAAACACGGGCTACAAGTGAACAGTTGTGATTGCTCTTTGGACAAAGCAGTGACGTCTTTGTGCAGTTTGCTCTTATTAACAGAAACTTCAGAAACAGAAAAAGTGCGGAACACAAAAGTGAAAATGCATCAATATGCAAAACAAAGTAAACAAAGTGGCATTTGGATTAAAATGCAGTATCATCAGCAGCTTTATTTCTCGTTCATGATATATATTTTTTCATTTCTCTGCCCACTGAAGGTAAAAAACATGAAATTCATGGTCAACACGTCTCAATGGCAGATCTTCCTCGCAGCATCAGATCCAGAGGCGTAAACAGTCCAGTTGAAGCTTTAGCTGATGAGGTAATCAGAAGGCGTCAGCGTATAGTGGTGGGGGAGGAAAGAGTTCCAGCTTGGTGAAGTCAACCTCCTGTTCACTGTCGTACAAAACAAATTACAGCATCACAGTTCATGTCAGGGGATGCCAGAGAACCTCAAGTACAGTGAGTACTTCTATACCAAAGTCTACGAGTACTTGAATACAAATAAAGATCAAACTGAGCCGAGCATCACCCGTTGATTAGAAGCAGACTCAACACTTACGGATATGGAGGCTCCTCAACAGCACACAAGAAATCTGAGTAAAGACAAGGAGATACAAAGGTAACATGAACTTTGAACCGCTGTCCCTGCAAAATGTCCAACATCATGTCTCCAGGTCACTTTAAACAGATAAATGTTCCCGCACAGTTGATTTTCCATGACAGGCGAGACGCCAACCAGTGCTTAGACTCGAGTGTCCTCAAAGTGATCTGTGAGTGGTGTCCTCTTAGCTTCACCAGTATCAGTGAGTGTGACGGAAGTGGTGACAACAGTCATGGGAAGAAAAACATAAGTCTGTAAACTCACCTGGTGGTTCAGCACTTTAAACAGGACAGAAAAAGAAGATGTTTCTATTACTCACAGGGTTTTTAAATAAACTAATGTTTCATGGAAAAGAGAAGACTGTACTTTGTGGGTGTTGCTCCTTCAACATCATCAGCTTCGAAAAAATCCTCTTTGGTGTGTTGGAAGAAGATGGCCAGTTTCTGCAGGGCCTCATGTCTGGTCCTAAAAGATTCAAGACAACAAACTCATTCTATATTCCTACAACTACTTTATTTCATACTTGTTAATGACCTGCAGGGGGTGCAGGGATCCCAGATTTACAAAGCTTATAACTATCCGTATTTATTTCTAAAGCTCAGATGGGAAAAGGTCAGGAAAATTTGGTTTGGACATATTGTGGAGTTTTGTCTTTTACATTTGAGATTGTTGAGGTCAGACATATTCACAACAACTGACAATGTCTGGGACATTCAGGTGAGGGGTGGTGCCTGGGTAGAGCATGCAGGAGGAAGAACAAGATGTATAACTTCTATCATGGAATCACGTTTTTGTTTACACCACATCGACACAGGCGTCGACCCTCATCACCAAAAGCTCTTGAATCTCGTTGTGTTTGAGACATATAATTGTAAATCTAGACAAAAAAAAAACAAACCTGCCATGGTATCTGCTTCAGCACCTGTGTGTATGCAGACTTACTGTGTGTGTAGGTCCTCCAGGTTGGCATCGCTGAGAGTATGCTGGGCACTGACATGGCTACAAGCTGGAGAGCGGTTGGGGCGGGGGTGAGTTAGGCAATGACGGTAAGATGGAGGGGGAGTGGGGGAGGAAATGGCAAGTGGAGAAGAGCACATCAAACACGTTACAGTGTTCCATGTGACGATGTATAACAAAGCAACCACAGGCAGAGCTTGCATTTCCCTTTAAACCACTACTTACACATCTCAGACATGGATGAGGTCTGCTGGGGAAAACTGCTATACAAAATGAAACAGAAAGAGAAAGAAAACAATTATGTATATTGTGCATCATGAAAATTCAGTCTCATACGGAATAACTTAAAACTACTTTCATGTGGCTTATGGTTTGTCACTCTTCAAAGAAAAAGCACTTGCTAAGCCACAGTAAAGGATGTTAAACTTCAGTCTTACTGGCTTTCATTGGAGGGCGAGAGAGTCTCGTCTTCACAGGCCCACTCCTCGCTGTCATCTGTGACTGTGGGAAACAAATTAGTTTGATTAAACACAGTGTGCTGGCTGATGATAGAGGGTTGGCAGCTGAAACCCTCATCCTACATGGAATTCCTTTACAATCGCGGAATAACACATTGCTGTCAAACACATGTCAACTTGTCAACACGTCTACACATAATAACAGCTAGTCAAATTCTTTGTTCTGCGTTTATCATGTTGAAATGATCAAGCGGCTCATGCAAAGTTAAGAGGGTTCGAGGTGACAGTACAAACATCCACTGTGCAGCAGAGCCTATTGACACTTACAGCTACTTGTTAGCACAGGGTGACTGGAGGATCTGCAAAACAAAGACGGACAAATTGTGACAAATAGTTCATGTTGACACATACTGATGGACTGACAAGCAAGTTGGGGTTATAAATCTTACAAAAGGTCGGAAATTTAAGTAACAGTTTCCTTTTAAGATGCTGAGAGGGAGTTTTTTTTTTACTTGACACAACATTGAAAATAATAATGCAGTGACACATTCCAGGATGTGTTAACCCTCCAAGATAATCTAATTTAATTCATGGAAAATAATTTGTGTTTTGTGTTTTTCTATATAAAAAGACTGTGGAATTACATTGAAAAAGCTGTAATTTAAAAGGGTTAAAATACTTAAAATATACATATTTGGTATTTTTGATCAGGATTGATGTAGATAAAAAATATTAAGTAATTGAAAGTAAAAATAATATGAATATATAAAGTTTTACACAGAGGTGCCAATTATATGTCCAACATGGACAAATCCTGATTCAATAAGGTGCATATCCATCCACTGTTAGTTGTACAGCTTTGAGAAAAACCACACATCATTAAATATATATAAAAACTGCTCCTTTTTCAAGCTCATTGTGTTCTTCAAAAATGCTTGAAAAATATAAATAAMAAATTGACATTATTATTTTTAGTATTGTTGGTAATTGACATTTTTGTCCCAGATGTTTTTTAAGGAGCTCTAAAGGGTAAATCAGTGACCCGCCCAGTACCTGCTGCCAATGCTGATGGTGTCTCCGTCCATGTTTCCTCCTCGTCCTGCAGCTTGGGCCTTCTTCCCAAGTTCCAGCATCTCCTTGATATTTAGCTCCACATTCATGACAGAAATATAACCGTCTGAAAAAGCCAGAGTGGAGCAGTAACAGACAGCAGCTGAGAAGTTATTACCAATGTGGTTTAAATGTGAAAACATGGGACTAATCAAATTCTATCACTGTTTCCCATTAATTATCTCCACTGTGGCCGCCCGCCATATTCTAATTTATCCTGCTACAGTTTCATAATGAACCATTAACATTTCCACACTTCTCATAATAACATAAGAGACATCTGACTTGGTATTTTGCTCCCACACAAGAGCACTGCTCTTTAACTCTTTAGTCTGTGCACCTGTCCCTCTAACTTCATGTGTGTGCTCCTCCATAACTACCATAGATTGAATTCATTCTGTGGGACATGCAGTCTGTAAAAGAGCTTCAATTCAACAACTAAGACAAGTTTATTCTTCTTTATAGAATTCTAATATATAAATGTAAAAAATTTTTTAGGATCACATTAAAATTAAAATAAAATACACAATATGTCTAAACTCACACTTGTGGTCTGCGTCTCGAGCCAACCATTTGCCTTTGGGGCAGTTAGTGGTGCGGATGATGCTGACTGTGTCCCCGCTCTTCACAGGCAGATCATTCTTGCGGACTTTACTGGCCACCATCACCTTGGCGTGGTACATGGGCTCCTCCTCGCCTGTCACCTAGAGATTGAAATTGAACATTCAAAAAAAGAAAAGAGTGGCCAGGGACAGATTCCAGAACAGCTACGCAGTTCAATTGGCCCAATTCTAATCTAATTAAATGATTGCCTTGAGCAGTTTACTGCCTTTTATTGAGCATCATTATGACCCTATGACAAAAGACTGAGAAAGACACAGCTCTACACAAAGAATGTATTCACCACAATGTAACTTTTTTCCTGACTCACCTTGAACTTCTTTTTCATTTCATTTTCCTTCTTCTCCCTCTCTTTTAGCTCCTTTTTCTCCTTGTCCAACCGCTGCTTCTCCCTCTTCTTCTGTTCTTTACAGTCAGCAGTGTTTGGGCTTTGGCGTTCCTTACTGAAAACAAATCAGACTAGTGGATCTCATTTTCCATAATGTTTACATTTACCACCTGAAATATAAATGGAACCACATGTGAGCAAAATAACTGAATAAAAAGAAAACAAAAGCAAATTTCAACATGAAAACAAAGGGATCAGGTTTTGGACCGGTCTGTTTTTAATCACAACATCAGAGAGTGACGGGTGACATGTCTAACATACCTGTGGACATGATTATAGGCCGAGTGAGGATGTTCTCCTGATACAGTGGCCCTGCAGTTTGATTACCACAGTAGGAGAAAAATCAATGGCTGCCTCCCATCTGGCAAAAATCAATGTCAATGACATAACACAGGACTTATATGTTTGGAAAAAAAAGAAATACCATGGATTCCGCGGCCATATGTTTAGAGACGCCTCCTCTTTCTTGAAATAAAACAGATTTTTAATTAATAGCACATTATTTGCCCATTGCACATTGTCATCATAAACCTTTTTCTATCATATATGATAATAAACACAAATAGATTTTAATAGGAGTTACCACTGGGTGGTTGTCCGCATACGGATCTGTAAAAAAAATATTAACACTGTAGTCAAATTTGAAAGAATAAATCTCTGCCACAACAAAGAATCTTTTAAAAAAGAAATTCTCTTACTCTTCAGACCAGCTTTGCGTTTACGAGAGTTCTGGCCCAAGATAGCTTTGTTGAGGTTTTCAACATCTTCGTACACATTATCACATGTTTCATAGTAACTGTCCTGTTGATAAGCACTGGAAGGGAGGAAATCAAATCAATCAAATTAGTGATGTAAAAAATTGTGGAAAACTAGAAAGAGTGAATAACTCGCCAAGGCCCAACAGCCCCCTTGAATTTTAGAATCAAGTTGCACCAAGTTGTACACACTCATAAACATCAGTTCCCTTAATGTGCCTGACTTCTTTTTTCCATTAAGACCCATGAATTATTCCCTGGGATATCTGTGAAAATATATATATATATATATATATATATATATATATAAAAAAAAAACTATCTCGCAATGCTAAAGAAAGTGATAATAAAGTTGACTGGTAATCTGTGCAGTTGTTTTTGTGTAACCTTGCTTAAAAATACAACTAAAACAAACAAACGCAACAGAGGTGAAAACATAACCTTCTTGGCGGAGGTAGAAATTATGATTCCAGTTACAGCTTAACTCACCTCGGATGTGGCTGAATACCATCATTCATTTCCGCATGGTTACTAAGCTCCATTTCCTCTGGGACCGAGTGGCATTCAGCAGCTCCCAGATCAGCCTCATCAGTCTGAGAGTGTGAAAGAGGATCTAAGATCGCCTCCTCACTCTGAGACCACTGCTCTGGCGCAGCAGGCTCTGGGAACTCTGAAAGGTTTATTGGTTCAAGGAAGCTGGCTGGATCGAGTGGTATTATATTTTGACTGCCGTTGTTCAGTGCTTGGGTGATGGAGCTCACACAGGGCTCTGTGGGATCAGATGCTGACAAATCAGGTTGGGATGCCTCAAAATCTGTGACTTCAAAGTCGACTGGTAAGGGTAGGTCAGAGCTGAGAAAGTCTAAAGCCTCCAATTCGAGCGCAGCGATATCGACAGCTTCTCCTTCTGCTGCCTCAATCTCTGAATTCTCAAACTCTGGAAACTCTGGAGCGTACAGCACAGGGCTGGGGATGGATGGGAGCTCACACTCTGGCTCTTCAGTTGCAGCTTGGCTAAGACCTGGTGGCACAGCTATAAAAAGAAACAAAAATCAGCACTTGAACAGATGCTCGTCCTTTCTAAAAATAAGGATAATGTAAACTGCATTACTTCTAAAACACAGTAACTGATGTCCAAGTTAAACACAACTTTTGCCTTAATATCCTTCAGTCTGTGGCCGCAAAAGTGAAATACAGACAAAAGCTGGGGAAATGGAAAAAATGCAAAGTTCACATACAGTACCATGGGCTGTGGGTAGATGGTAGCGGCTAAGGTCTACTGATGGAGGTCTGGGGGGCTTTGCTGGCTGTCGTCCCAGAAAGCTCAGGTCAGGTAGAGGTTTCTTTGGAGGAGCAGACGGTGAATGAGGTCCAGCCGTCCTCACAGAGGGACATGCAGCTTGATCCCTGCCCAACTGCTTAGCCAATGCATACTCTGGACATTGGGAAAAAATATTGCAAATGGATAAGAAAATGTGACTGAATAAACAGTGTAAGAGGTATGTAAAAGTGTTCCAGACAAAAACTGTTGTTCTTGAGTAAAGCTTACTACGTGTAGAGTGGTTTGCTTTGAAGAAAGGCCGGGCTGAAATACAAGCCAGGTGTGGCAAGAAGACTGGTGGGGGTATGGGGAGGTCAGGCTCAACACCTTGTATGTTCTTTGGTGGCAAAGGGAACGCCTTGTCTCTTGATGCGTAGTCAGGGGAATGCAGGCTCTTGGGTTTTATGGAAAACAACATCTGCCGGCGTGAGAACTTTTTCTTGGTCCTCTCCAAGGTGCTAATGATTCTGTTGTCGGAGTCGACGCTCGTCTCTGAAGACGGAGGGGTGATCGCTGTATCTGGGCTTGACAGGGGCCACTCGACAGTTGATTGATCACTTTGGACTGAAAAACCGTCTTCTGTGGTTTGTCTCTCCATTGAGGGCAACTCGCCAGGAGCACTAGAGGGTCTCATGGTCAAATCAGCATAAGTAGGCTCCTCTCCATTTTCTGCGCTGACTTTTGATGCTTTGGCTGACTTGAAAGGAAGCAGCAACCCCTTCTTCTTGAGTTTAGTTCGCGGCAGGACTCCTTTTTGTGACTCTGGTTCCGGTTTGTGCTCCTTTCTGAATGGTGCTTCTATTTTCTGCTCTTTTACAGGCAAGACAGGAAGCACCCGAGGCATGTGTCGCTCTTTGAGGGACTGCCTTGTGCCGTCTCCGTTAGCAAGCAGGGACGAGGGGGATATCTGCTGAGGTTGTGGTGGAAAGGAAATTGGTCGCTTTCCTCCAGATGCATGCAGCCCATCTTGGAAAAAGACCCGGGGAACCACCGGTATCTTGTTTTCTACAGCAATACTGATACTGCTAACCACAGAGCTGCAGTGTCCTCCAGGAGGTGGAAGATGTTTGGGTTTCTCCGCAACAGCTGGCCGTCTGGTTTTGGATTGAGCCAGAAGGGCCTCTTCCTGAAACTTGGCCCTCAGAGCTTTGAAGTTGATTGCCCCCTCCTAAAAAAAAAGTGAATCATTAAGTTAACAGAAACAGCTAGAACCTTTAAATCTAAATCTTTTTGAAGTTTTGCAGACCAAGGGTTTGTGGCTGGAACTTACTTTAAAAATGTTCAAACAATTCACCCGCCCCTCCATCAAACGACATAGGGGTGAATAGATAATGAGGGAATTTTCATTTTTGGGTGAACTAGCCCTTTAAGTCTCCGTGTTGTCCACACAAACTAACCTTTAATATTCTAAGAACCAACGACAGGTGAGGGAGTGTTGACATGAATTAAGTGGCACAGGACACGCAAACTGCTCCAGAGCGGTGTGTGAAGCAGTGGCTGGCACAGGGTGAGGTGACCTGTAGCTAAAAGGTTCCTCAGGAAACTCTGCAGACTTTACCTCTTCCATCGTGGCTCCTTGTGTTCATCCCTGTTCAGACTGCGCGCCGGGACAGAGCTCTCCTCTGCTGTGCTCCTCTCGGTGTCTCAGGCGATGAGGCGACAACAAACAATTTGAGAGCGCCGCCGTGCGCGTGACGCACCTGTGTGGCGCGCGTGACCTACGTGCGCGCTCACGTCGGTTGACCGACGAATCAGGAGCGTCCACAGACAGAGATAGGTGTGAATAACAATAGCGATTTATTTATAATACACAGTCAACTGTGAATCTCTTTGAACTGGGATAGTAAAACTAATAAAAGTACTACTAATATGAAGAATTGACTTTAAAGATTGGGACACACACGTTATCAAACAAACAAACAAAGTAATAATAAATGACTTTAATTCTCGAACCTGTACTAACTGTGCTTTAAAAATAAAGTGTGATTGAATATAATAACAGTACTAATAATAATACAACTTATACTATTACTACTACTACTACGAATAATAATAAGTATAATAGTAAAAATCATAATAAACTAGGCTACGATTTTTAATGCCACTACTAATCGATACAGTATTAGAAATATGTATATATTTTGTATCATTTCATGTGTCTGAGAGCAATGTCTTTTTTTCAGGTTGAGTTGTTGAGTGTTTGTGTTCTGGGAAATGTTCTGATGGTGTTTATGGGGGTGGAGAGTATGAGTAAATAAATTGTCCAAAAAAAATCCCCAACTGTTGTAACAGCATTTGTTTACTCTTCAATCAATTATTCACTGTGGTTGGTCAACAGTGCAATGGTACAACTTCCCAGAGGATCACATCAGCTGTTTGTGTGATGTGGCTTTTTAATCTTAAGGCATAGCTATATACTCATTCATCAACATGAGTGTATTTATTCATTTGCTCCTGGGTTTAGTTGCACTGCATCAGTTTATCAATTTTAGCACATCTGTGGATGCTTCCAGACCACCATGGAGACCTGCTGATTATAGGTACAGTACTGCTATGGCTTCATATCTTTTATGAACTCAGTAAAAAAAACACCTGATGACTGTGATTTAACACATGTCCTGCTGCATGGGTGATAGAACTGGAATTGATATGATGATATGTGTTTCAGGGTCAGGGGGGCTGGGACGAGGACGGCAAGAGCTGTAAACAGACCGAAACCCGTCAACTGTAGGCTGGCGAGCTGGTCACCATGGACTCCCTGTAACTCCTGCACAGACAAAAAGGCAATGGTCATTTACACAAAGCAGACGCAGATTGAAAATAGTCATTTCATCTTTTAATATCTGTGGCTTGTGACTGAAACTGGACAGTTTTCATCAGGTAGCTCAGATCAATACTATATGGATGAGATGATGATGTATACTTTATGTCATTCTTTGGACAGTTGTTCATATAGGCTACCAAATTGTATATAGCTAATTATCTATATTAATCTATATTAACTGTATATGTTTGTAAAGTTGAACACAAGGAGTGTACCACAGTGTCATACATTAACAAATGACTACAAACTAATCTACTGTATATATGAGTGATACGACAACAGAATGGACATAGTGAGTGAATTTAGATGCTAACTAATATTTGAACTTTGTCTTAGTTCCGTTTCCGTTACATGGAGAAACCCTCACAGTTTGGAGGCACAGAGTGCATAGAGACGCTGTGGGAGCAGCTGGCATGTCCGACAGCCACCTCACAGTGTGTGGTGCCGGATCACTGTGGAGAGAGCTTCACTTGCAAAGACACAGGCATGCCCCGTCGAAATCCCACTAAGACACAAACACATTCTCTCTAAGAGGTGTTTTATCAGGTGTGTGTACATGGAGGACATAGAGTATGTATATGTGAACGTGTCTTTGCAGGACGCTGTATCAGCCAGTCACTTCGCTGTAATGGTGAATCAGACTGTGAGGATTCTTCTGATGAAGATGAGTGTGACAATTTTAACTTGAGAGACGACAAGTGTTCCATCCTCCTGCCAATCCCTGGAGCTCAGCGTGGCACTCAGGGGTATATATTGCTTATACAGCAGTAGCTTTTACTGCTGTTTTTCTTATTACTCACTTTCTATAGCACATGAAAGAAAACTTTCAAAGGTATAATGTACATGTGCAGCTGTAAGATATGCATGACTAATTGACATTGTTGTATTTTGACCCAGCTACAACGCCTTGACTGGAGAATTTGTGGATCGTGTAATTGATCCAAGTTATTTTGGGGGAATGTGTGAATATGTCTATAATGGCGAATGGAGGAAATTCACCTATGACTCATTCTGTGAGAACCTGCACTACAACGAGGACGATAAAAACTACCGGAAACCTTACAACTACCATAGCTACCGTTTTGTGGTAATGTCATGTTGAGATCCATTTCTTTGTGCACCTTAATAACTGTACAGTTTGAACTGAGGCATTATGACATAAGATTTGATCTGTTACAGGCTCAAGCTACATCAGAGGGCTCTCATGAGTACTATGAGGATATGGCGAGTCTGCTTAAAGCAAGGAAAACTATGAATTCCTACAATGCTGGTGTCACAGTAGCGGTCTATTACGTGCAAGTGGGACTCAAAGGAAGTAAAGAGTCTGAGTTTCTGAGCAACATAACACAGTATAAGAACCAGGTATAATCTACTGACCCACAGATCAACATGCCTTACAAGATAACAAGCACAATTTCTCGTTCTTTTTGTTTTGAATATATCATTTAGTGATGTTGCAATTTAACTGTAGTAAGAATAACTGCATCCATCCATCCATTACCTATACCACTTATCCTTTGAGGATTGCAGGGGTCTGGGGCCTACCCAGCTGACACTGAGTGATACACGGGGTATAGCAACACTTTAACACTGTTGCCTCATAGAAAGATGTTTCACGACTTGAATCCCAGTTAGGTCAGGGATCTCTCTGTGTGACTTTTGTATATTCTGCGGATGGAATGGTTGCATGGCTAAGCTAAGCTAAGCACTTCCTAGGTGTAGCTAAATATCCAATAGTTAAACATGCGAGAGGGCATTAATGAGTATTAATAAGTTGCAGTTAGAGTTTAAGTATCTTTCTTGAAGATAAATAAAAACATATTCCTAATCATTGCTATTATATTCTTTTATCCACAGGACCTTGGGTTTGTCAGGCTTTGGTCCAAAGTGCAAACAGCCCAATTCAAGATGAGAACCAATAAGCTGATGCTTCATGAAGATTTCTACATGTCACTGATGGAGCTCCCGGAGCAGTATGACTTTGGGATGTACTCCCGCTTCTTCAACACATTTGGCACTCACTACGTCACAGAGGGAACTATGGGAGGAACCCTTGAATATGTCGTGGTTATTAACAAAACCTCTATCGCCAAGTCAAGTACTGTGAACTTTACAATGGGTCATTTGATGTAACATAATAATCTAATCTTAAGTAACTTTAATTTAATTATCTTCCCCAATGCTCACAGAGATGGAGGGTGAACAAGTCGGTAGATGCATTGGTGGCTCTTTTGGATTAAGCAATCCAATGGGTGTCTATGGACAGGCAGATCTCACAGTGGGTGGGAATGAATGCAATAAAGACGGGAAGTTCAGTCAAGGTGAGACAGCAGCCTTTGTCTCAATTCAGGGGCTGCATCCTTCAGAGGACTGCATAGACCGTAAAGGCCAAACTGAGAAACATTGCTCCTCACACCCTTATTAAGTTGGACATGATGAGAAAGTTTTAATACTCCTTGGATCAGTAACATATGCTTGGTTAAAATGAAGCCTGATACTCAAGCATTGGATGTCTTGCCTTTGCCATTACTTTTGAATCCTGGGATAGGTTGAGAGAAGAAGCATCAACCCCTTAGAGCCTTAATTTCTTGACATTAAAGGACAATTTTGTCTGACACCTATGACAGAGCCTTCGAAATGGGACAGTCTAGTTGCAACGCTGTGACCAAATCTGTCTTCATATGTAACCTCTGAAGAATGAAGCCCCTGAATTTAGACTCAACTGGAAACAGAGAAATACAATTACCAATAAAGGTCACACACTAGTGATGAGTCCACCCCTTTTTGCAGTCCTCATAACACTTTATATAATACCTCAGAATACCTAATAATAACAACCTAATATAATATACATATTTATTTTACAAAATTATATATGTGATTTTGATAATTTTTAATTTCAGTTTATCAGGTAATGTTTCAACTGTCTTATTTTTGTTTAACTGAAAAATCATGTAAAGGATTGTTGATGTCATGTAATTTTTGTTCTTCATTCTGTTTTCGACACATAGGAAAGGACTCCAGTTCTGTTGTGATTGAGGACATTGTGACTCTAGTGAAGGGAGGAGTCACGGTGAGCAGCAGTGGTCTGTTGGCTATCAGGAATCCAAAAACGTATAGGGCCTGGGGAGCAACTCTGAAATACAACCCAACGCTCATTGAATATGAGGTGACATATAATTTCACATAAAATGAATACCTTCTTTAACGCAGGAAAAACTTAGCTACGCACCATCATCTGTTTCTCAGACTATGCCGATCTATGAGCTGGTGCGCCACAGCACAGCCGCCAAGCATGTAGGTGCGAGACTGGCCAACCTGCAGAGGGGCTGGGATGAGTATCTGCAGCAGTTCGACTCCTGTCGCTGTGCTCCCTGCAGGCATAATGGGATCCCAGTCCTCAAGGGCACCTCCTGTGAGTGCATCTGTAAGTCCGGCTACCAGGGACAAGCCTGTGAAGAGACTCTCAGAAGAGGTGAGGCGTCATGATAAAAAAAAAAATGTTGAGGTTATAACATTCAAAAGCAAGTTCTTTGAATATATGAAAATGCTATTTCTGCCTGCAATGCTTTTAATAATAAACCTATTTTTTTCTGATAAATATTCTAGCACATAAACAAGAGGTATCTTAACTGATTTTGGTGCAGCCTGAAATAAAAGCTCACACATGAAAAGAAGCTATACACGGCTATTAACTCAATTCCTAAAAATAAATGCTGGTAAGAGAGCTTCTCAGTGAACACAAACTAGATTTACTTATAGTGGTCAGCTGTGGCTCAGGAGATCGGGAGGGCTGGGCACTTACCTGAAGGTGGATGGTTCAATCCCTAGTTTCTCTAGTCTCCTTTCTGAAGTGTCCTTGGGCAAGATACTGAATTCTAAGGTGCTCCAGAAAACTCTGCAGTTTAGTTTCAGATCTGGTCTCTTGAAGCATCCTGTCCTAACTGCAGTTTTATCCACTGGAGGACTGGTTGCTTTTTGTTCAGACATTTTTAAATGCTTTTTTTCAAATATGAGACAATTATATTGGAGAGTCAAACTTTTGGTGCAGCTGTCAACTATCCATAGCTCACCACTTCGATAACAGCTTGGACTGTAAGGCTGTGGAGTTTTTCAGCTCTTGCATTCTTAGATTTTATGGAACATCCTGCAGGGCCAACTCACAACTGAGGACTTAAAGAGCACTGTAGGGGAGAAATACAATGATTAATAAGGTTGTTGATAAAAATGTATCATATCACCACATTTACCATTGCTATAACTGAATTATTAATAACAATGAGGGTCTGGTTACAATATACAAAAGTGTACTTCAAGAGCCTGCTTGTGTTTGACGATGTGATTAACAACAGTGTGCAGACATTTCCTCTTACACAATACATATCCAACACAAAATCCTTTTAATGATAATCGACAGATACCAAGACAGATGGGTCGTGGTCATGCTGGGGGGCCTGGTCCTCCTGCACATCTGGGAGGAAAACTCGAACAAGAGCCTGTAATCATCCCCCACCTGACGGGGGCGGAGCAACCTGCATGGGCTCTTCCTCTTACACTCAGCGTTGCTGAAGTGACTCTCCTCCCAAATTGTAGTGTTGAGAGATAAGAGACAATAAAGGTTTTTACAAACAATGAAAAACTATTGTTTAAGTTTTGATTGCAAAAATAACATCTACCTGTCTCAGGTCACACTGCGCGACATGTCAAAATGGAAATGTGTGTTGTGCATATTTGTGTTTGTGTCAGTATTGCTTTCATTAAGTAATTTTTATTGAAACTGTCATTTTTACTGTGTGTGACATTGTTTTAAAATTGCATCAAATATTAAGGTTAAATATGGAACAACAGATGCTGAATCCAGTTTGGTGTCTGAAGCAAATCCAGGTAATCGTCAAGAAATGATACACATGCAGTGAAGTGCTAAAAGGTTTTACTTTAGAAAACACACAAATAAAAGGACAAAAATGTACTTGAATAAAAGTAAAAGTACCACATTAACCTTTCTACTAAATATATTCAAAAGCAAGTAAGCACTTGCTGTTGAATATATTTAAAGTATTAAAAGTTTCTTGCTGTGTGCCTATTCCATAATGCAATGCTCTACTACCTATTTAGCTGTGCTTACTGTATATTTGTATATTGTTTGAGTTGTATGAATAATAAATGACTTTGTCATAATAATAAAGAATACTGCAGAGGATCCTACTGAAAACACATTGTCATAGAAATGACTGACTCGGCAATGGTTTAGGTGTTTTCTTCGATCATGCTACTGCTACAGGAGGCGTAATCTAATGTCACCTGCCTCCTCTGATTGGATCAGTCAACCACTTCCCATCTCGTTATTAATTACCTTTGAAAATATAACAGAGTAAATCTACTTTGTTACATCCCATGGTATTCTTATAAAAATATTCTTAGATGACATTCCACGCTGGTTGTTTTTTTTTTAATTCAAATGTCAATCATTATGACACATTAGGCAGTCCAATGACAAAACACACCACGGACTACTCTCCTATAGTTTTTTTTAATGTACATAGATCTATGCATCACTGTGGACATGAGCAGGTTTTTAAAAGCAGTCAGTCGACTCTTGCTGCAGTCCTCTGCATGCCAGGCCTCCATCGCTGGGCACTGGGTTGTTGCACTGTCGACTCCTTGACATCTTTCTTCCACTGCAGGACGACCACGCACCCCAGCAGCTCCAACTGCCGTCAGTGGCTATTTCTGTCGGAAAGAGTAACATCAGATATCGTTATGTCAGCGTCTCAGTAGGTTTGGTACATAATCAAAATAATCTTAATTTGTTTTGTATTTTGGATCCATAGTTTTTTTACGTTTTTTCCTCTGAGTGATCTCACAGCCCCGTCCGGTGTAGCCAGTGGGACACACACAGTCACACCTTGTGCCTAGTAGAAAGAAGAAAGAAGAATAATTCCTTCATTATCTTCATTACAGCTGCATCATTTAGTTCACATCTGTCAGAGGTCACTTAATGTCATTATAATTACAACTTAATCTAAAACTATATCTGAGGAATAAGGAGGAAAATACAAATACCCATATAATATAGTCCCAGAACTTTAAATGGAAAAAGAACACAAAATGCTCTCAAAGTACACAAGTAAAACATGGGTTGGAAAAAATGCCCAGTGTGTGTAAGTGGTAACGTGATATGTGTTTTCAGGTAAGTAGTATGGAGGGTGATTAAAACTGTAGACTGTATGTAGACTGTAATATCCTCTGACTTACCTCTCAAAACGGCTACTCCATTGTTGTGGCAAGGAGCACAACGACATGAACTACTCTCTGCCAGGTACTCTGACAATGCTCTCTTCAGGTTCCTCTTCAGTGTAGCATCATGGGAGAAGTCTTTGGAAGTCACCAGCTCATACAGCGGCCGGGTCTAATGAGAAACTAGTGTCATGATTAAACCAAACACTTGTTACTAATCAAATTTAGTTGTATAGGATTGAGTTGTTTTCAGACAGTCAACTGGAAAGCCCCTTGTGTGCTGACACTTGACTATGAGGTTGTAAGTCAGCCCAGTTGTATTTGGCATTGTTGTTATCTGGCATAATTTGCTGTTTGATCTCCAGCTTGCTATTGATTGGTTTAGCTGTCAGCTACTTCACCTCTCTGCAACTCTTTTGGAAATGATTCTGCCCCAATTATTCAGGTCATATCCACTGAAGAAAATTTCATTCAAGCTTCAAACTGAGATGGAGATATAAGGAGGAAAAACAAGAGCTTGTTGGAAACAGGGAACAGATTAGAGAGTAATACAAGTCAGACTGTGACATGTAGTGTAAACAAATGGAGCGATGCTTGCGAGCTAGTTCAGGGGTTCCCCAAAGGCAGACCTGTGAGATCATGTTCAAGAGGCCAAAAACCTGAGACTTGACCTTGACCTTGGAACATCCCAAATACTGTCACTTAATTTGGTTATAGTGAACAAATGTGCCAAATTTGAAAACGATCCTCTGAAGGTGTTGGAATGGAAAAAAGAGGATTCTTAGGCTACAGGAAACCTTGACCTTTGACCGCCAAATTCTAATAAGGTCATCATTGAGTCCAAGTGGATAGTTTGTGTCATGTTTGAAGAAATTCCCTCAAGGAGCTCCTTGGTTATCTTGTTCATAGGAATTGGACGCACATACAACCCATAAACATTATGCCTCAGGCCACTGGTGATAGAGAAACTCACTGTTTTGCGAATAAAGTCAGGGTTGAAACGTACTCCCTCACCCCAAAGCCTCATCAGCTGTGGGGTGGGAAGCTTCTTAGACACCAAGCCGGTGATGGACTCACTACTGCCACCTCGAACGACAGCAACAAAGTCCTCCACGGAGCTGCCGATTGCAGTGTCCTCTGGAAAGAGAAGGAGTGACTTCAGTGTTCTAGCATCAGTTCATATGACTGAATTTTACAAAGAATCCTCACCTCCCATCTCATTCAACAGGCCATTGCAGGATCCACCCTCAATCCCTGCTGACACGTAAACACCATATATGTTGGCTCCAACCTTTAGGCCTGCCTGGGTGCAGGACTTGTAGTCTTCCAAAGAATAATCTAGGATGAAAAATCTCTGTCATGGAGTGCTTTTTTAATTATTATATTATAGTTCACAAAACTGGACCCTGAACTTGTATGCAGTTTAACTGCTAAAAAAACTCAACGTAAAGGATAATATATCAGTAGCTTTGGCAAACCCCAAAATTATCTGTGTGGAACATCCTTTAAATGAAGGAGGTGAGAAATTTAACTAAATTAGATTTTACTGATGGTGCCCTCTTACCTGTCTTCGCCAGCTTCTCCTTGTCCAGAATGATGGTGTGCTCATATTCTCCTCCGAGGGCGGCCTCTGTGATGTAGTGGGTGCCGTAGTCTCTGTATATCTGCCTGTATTCTCCATAAACATAGGCCTGTGGCAAGGAGCGCAGGCGCTGCAGGAATTCAGGGTGAAGCATCAAATCATCTGACCTCAGCATGTACTGGGCCAACTCCAGCTCTGCTTTGGCGCTCACAAAGCTATTGATCTGAGGAGAGAATCAGTGGGAGACATGTGAAAGATGCAAGACTGACATGCACATTTTCATTTCTTTTAAATAACTTATGGGAAAGTGACGCACAAAATTTTCAGAAAAGTAGAGGCACCAGTGGTTTTTCAGGAGAAAAGAAAAAACAAAGAGCAGCTTACCTTGCTAGAGGCACGACGAATTTTCTGAATCGATCTGGTGACTTTGGCATTGTTGTAGTTGAAGCCAAATTCAGCTATGCCAGGAATGGCAAAGCCAATGGAAACAATCGTTTGTGTCATACGCTCCCTCATGCTGTAGTCCATGTAGTCAGAGTACGACTCAAAAGACTGAACATTGAAATCATATGAGCCTTTTGTCTGTAGGTGAGTTGAGAAAAAAAACTTAGCTTTAAGTGTAAAATTAGCAGGACCATGTTCATTTATCAACAGTAATTCTCCAACATTCACACACATTCATTCAGCGTTCCTACATGCAGCGCCATATCACGTGTCAGGGGCAATGTGGAGATAAAGCGTCTTTGGCATTCAGACAAGAGGAGCCGCAGATCTAACCACCGACTTTCTGGCAAGTGGTGAGTAGGTGATGAGTGAATTTTTTTTTTCAGCTCTGAAAGGCAGTGATTGAATTTTCCACAATTCGGCAACCCAAACTTCTTGGTAAGTCAATGAATTGGAAGAAAGTGTTTTATGTATCAAGTATAACTCTTATAACTCTTGCACTTGTTTGTTGGTCATTCCCACCTCAAGAGTGTACTGTTGCAAGTTGTGAGGCTTCCTGAACCTGACATCCTGAATGTACTGGGGCAAGCAGCTGCCTGCATAGTATCTGTTATCAAGCACCAGTCCCTCCAGGTTACTGTTCAAGATGTTTATTCTGTAAGAAAAGCATCAACATGCGTACACTGATTTGAGAAGAGCCACATGTTTACATAAGAATTTGCCCAAAAAACTCACATTGTAGACTAATAGGAATTTGACTCACCCTTTAGCAAGGTTTTCAATTCCCCAGTACTCTTCAGCTTCTTGTCTGCAGGGCTTGGGAACCTTCTTACAGCCAACTTCATCTGACATGTCCCCACAGTCATCCTCCCCATTACACTGCAGAGTTCTGTGAATGCAGCGACCTGATGGAGGGGAGAGAAATATTTACTTGTAGTAAATTCTTTAAGAAATATTGTATGCCATTTTTGGAAATACTGTTATTAGCTTTCTTTAGATTAAAATGAGAAGATCGACATCAGAGTAAATTTGAATATAAAGCATAAGCCAACAGCAGATTTGCTGGAATCAGTGGGAACTGCATTTGACCAAGAAACAGTTTATCACAAAACCACAACATTGTGTTTCTATTTGGATTTTTGAGCAGATTTGAGAAGGAGATGTGCAACGTGTCACCGCTTTAAAGGGTTTGTGTGCTGCAGTATTGACTGTAGTGTACTTTCTGGGGCGTTAAGAGGGCCGGTAAGATAATATGAACTGTTTCATCTGCTTTTAGTTTCTATGCTAATCTAATCAGCCAATGTTGGTGTGTGCATATTTAACATATGAATGATATCATCTTTCTTTTGAGAACAAATCTCGCACATGCAAAGTAG